CAATTATCAATCAAATCAAAGTTCGATACTCTACATGGTAGCAGCAGAATTGATAGGTCGAACCTATCCTAGGAGGGCTTCCCGGGTGGATCGGATCCACTCGGATAAGCCAACTGAGACACAGGCCCGGACCTGGCACGCTGGTTACTACACCGGTCTTGCTCAGTATAATAGAAAAAATATTAAAACCCGGAAGAGGAGCCCGGAAGAGGGTAAGCCTGCAAGAGGGCTGGACCTGGAAGAAGGTTCGAACCGTACTTACACGGGCCCATGAGGTTTGACCGGTATCGGGGAATCAGCCGGTACCGTCAAATTGATTGGGGACTAAAAGATGCCCATTAAAAGAAATAGAAGGGGATCGTCCACCGTGGCGCATCCTGTTTCCCCCTTCTCAGGGAAGACTTGAACGGGGGGGTGAGCTAAGGCCTTCCCGAGATGGTAGAAATCAAAGGGCCATTAAAAGACTTAATCACCCGGAAGAGGGGGCCTTGGAAGAAGGGTGCATTTGAACCTTGGAGAGGGTTCGAAACCATTCGAACATGGTTAATTCTCCAGTCTTCTTACCGGTTAAGGATACTTTAAGAAATTACTAGGTTACAGGTGTTCCATGTACAACCTACCGGTCATAAAAAAAAATACCCCGGTTGGGTATTGATACAGAGGAACTTCGAAACTTCCACAAGGCGAAGCAGTTCACCGGTCAGACCGTGGAGAAGGGACCTACCGGTCAAACTTTGCTTCACCTCCAAAACAAGAACGAAGGTTTTTTAAAGCCAAAAAGAAGTCTAGCCGGTCAATCATTCTTCAAACTGACCACCAAGTTGGAGTTCAACCGATCAAAGTTACTCGAGCTGAATTTTCAAGTAAAGTGATCAAGAAAAACTTGGAAGTTCTACCGGTCGAAAACAATTGGAAAGTGGCCTGATTTATGTACCGGTCAGAATCTCTATGATGGTATTCTAAGGAGCAATAACGAATTATCAATCAAGGAGTAAGCAGATATGGAAGATTTACCTGTACGAAAAACAAACATGGCATTCAAGCAAAATAAGAATGTTAATTGTTTACAAATACACCGAGCATTCCCGGGAAAATTTCAAGTTTTCAAGTTTACAAAAGATGACCGGGCGCAGCCGGGGAGAATTCACTGCAAAGGGAAAGGGGGTTCAGGCTCTTCTTCGGGAATGGGGGCCAGGCCATACGCTTCAGCAGAAAAATCCGGGTCGCGTTCAATCAGGACTGCATGTGTAGCCTCCCGGTCTCTTTTCTGCCCAGACATGAAACCATATGAGCCGATCTGGGTGATCATCTCTTTCCCCTGCGCCTCCCGGTAGATAAATTTGAAGGTTTCCATCGTCGTCTCCGGAGTAGAAGTGATCACCCGTGCCGTCTCCTCCAAGTTCTCCCCCACCCATTGCTTGGCCCTGCCGGGGAACTCTCTCTCCTTCAGCTCCAAATCCTCCATAAGCTTCAGGTTTTCCTCCTTCAGCCGGAGGATCTCAGCATCCGCTTCCCCGGCCATCCGGGCGAGATTGGCCACCTCATCGAGCTGGCGCCCGGTCAGATCCTGAAGCTCTCGATTATGAGCCTCAGCTCTCCTCAGCTTCTCCTCCAACTGAGCCGACCGGGAAGGCGTGTCATCTGCGAGCTTCTCCAAAGTTTCCGGGCAGACCTCGCCCATCTGCGAAGTGGGAAGTAAACCGGTTAGAAAAGTAAAAAAGCAAGTCATTGAAAATAACATACCGGGAGAATATTACCTCTTTCAGCTTGAGGGTCATCTTGACCCATAGCTCTTCCATTGATTCTTTGACCGGGGAATGTTCCCCTCTCCTTTTCTTGGCCGATGGATGGGTGGTGGCCGCATGCTTCACTCTCTTTTTTCCTTTTCCCTTGTGGGGGGAGGAATCCACCGGTGCCTTGCCGGTCTGGGCAGCTCCCCCGGTCAGAGGGGCTTCATCCTCGGAATGAACTTCGATTGTCTCCTTTTAGACCGGGACAGTTTTGGGGGCCGAGGAAGAAGAACCACCGGTTGTCTTCGGCATGTTGAACGCTCTGAAATTCATATCTACAAAAATTGGCAAAAAACTTGTGAGTACTCAAACTATGACCTGTAGTATTGAACGAAAGAATGGAAGATACCTGGGTGGATTGGGCACCCGGCCTCAGCAGTGTTGCCCGGGGAGGGTACCCCGTGCCCCGCTGCCTCATGGGCCCGAGGGGTACCCCTACCACCCGGTTGGATCCTCCAGATCCAGGCCCCATAGTGGAACATCTGCCCGGTGAAGGGATCCCCCTAAAGGAGTTTCTCCAAACTCGCCTCCAAGTCTGGAGTTGTGGCCGGCTCGGTGAATTGAGATTTCAGGATGTGATCATTCCACTTTATGCCGGCCAGAGGAGAAGTGGCGGGGAACTTTATAAAGACAAATTTTTCCTTCCACTGCCGGTTACTTTGCGGAAGGTCGGAAATGAATTGACGACCATTGCGTCCTTTGAAGTAGACGTAACCGTCACAACCCGACTTACCGGGAAGGACTTCAAACAAATAAAGGAACAAGCGAAGGGAGGGATCGATCTGGAGCTCAACGCAGATGTTCACGAAGGCG